CGGGCATCGTAGTGAACCCGCTAGGACGTCGCTGTGCGTCCAGCTGTTAACGCGTCCACGCACACGGTGATGCACTTTGGACCCAGGGGCGGATCTATGGGTGGGCCTGGATGTGCACAGGCCCACCCAGATTGACAGCTTGCCCACCCAGTAAGATTAATGAAAAAAACAAAAAAACAAAAACAAATATATATATATATATATATATATATATATATATATATATATATATATATATATATATATATATATATATATATATATATATATATATATATATATAGAGATGATAATTCATACGAATTATCATAGACTCTGCTTTCAATGTTTAATTGTTATTTCTGTTTCTTGTGGACATTAAAACTTTTAATTTAAAAAATGAATAAAAAAGTTGCGCGACATGCACGTTCACGGCAACAATCGCGCCCCCCCCCCCCCCGCGAAATGGGGCGTGTCTCGGCGAGCGGAGCAAGACTTTTATTTTGAAAATGAGCAGACGGGAAGTTTTGAAGAAAAAAAAAACACTACATAACCCGGAAGCGGAATTTTTCCTGTAGGGGTTATTTCCCTGTCAACAACCCCGTTGACACCCGTGCCCTGCACGACACGTTATGTGTGTTTAATGTATGTTTGTAATCCATATCTCGACTTATCGTGATCCGTGACGGCATACCTCGGAACCTCACATGATCCGCCGCCGCCCCAAGTGCATTATCGGTCAATAACACGGCCACATACTACTAATACCACCACTACTAATAATCACCTGGACAATGTCAACGGCACCAGAGTCGGTCTCCGGGTTCCGGAGCTGCTGGAGCTGCCGGCTGCTGACCGGAGGAGGGCTGATGGCCGCCGGGTTTTACGTGTTCCGGGCCGCCAGGGTGACCATGCGTGTGGGCGCGCCGCCCACCATAGGACTGGCGGCCCAGCTCACCTTCGCTGCAAGTAAGTGGAGGATGGCCTGTTGTTTTGTTGTTTTATTTTTGGGTGGTGGATAATGAATAATAAGAGTCTGATTCGGGGCACACGCCTTTTTTTTTGTGCCGCAGGTCTGGCCGCCTGGGGGGTCGTGGTCATCGCTGATCCAGTAGGGAAGGCAACGAAGAAGTCGGATTAATGTGGACTGTTATTGTGAGACGTGGTGAACTAATTGACTATCATGTAGTCGACCCGGTCCGGTCCAAATGACCACCTTCTGTGAAAGCAAAGACTCTTATCTGAAGAACTTGTCTATTTAATCCATTTTATTCACCAAATAAAATGTGACGAATCGGCTGACGAGTCGGCTGCAGTTATTTCTCAACAACGTAAATGGCATTTAAAAACGTCGACGGATTCGTGATGTCATTAAGAGAGTAAAAGTTATTTTCATTTGCACGTCTTTCCCCAAGTGTCCCCCAGGGGCCGCAGCACCACCTAGTGGCCGCAGCACCACCTAGTGGCCGCAGCACCACCTAGTGGCCGCAGCACCACCTAGTGGCCGCTGCCTGAACAGCCTCAACCTGATTTTACTGAGTGGTTTCAGGTGCTTCAGTGACCGCCAGAGATGCGTCAGTGCAGCAGGCAGCAAGCACATGCGTGCACAACGTCGTGAGTAACCTTTATTTCTCAATGTGTTTATTTGTATGTACGTCTCTCGTCTGGTATGGGAATTTGGTTTCTGTGCGCTAGTCAATGGCGTTCATGTGAAGTTAAGGTTAGGGGTTGTGTAATATATTCACTGTAATACTAAATCTGTGATGATGCTTAAATATCACCCAGCGATGTGCACGAGGCCGGAAGACACAGGGCTGTGTAGACATGAGGAACAACCAGTTCAGTTAGTCTCAGTTACTGTTTTTATTATTAGTGTTATACTGATCTGAGCATGGCTGCTCCAAAAGTAGGAGATCGATATGCATGATGCAAAAAAACCAAAACAAAACACCCTTAAGTCCTCTTCAGTCGCTTCAAATTACCATATGACATTCTGATTCTTTTTTTCGTTGATAAGGAAAAATATGAAAATAGAATTGACAGTACATTTAGGCACACTATTAACACATACTGTACACATATGCACAATTTTTATCAGATTAATATATATTGGGCATTTAAAAAAACAAAACATGACAAAGCCTTCCTGTATGGACAGACGTGGACACATAAAGGGGAAGTCACTGCATCCAGTATGGGGACAAATATTCAGCTCATAAAGGGCAAGAGGTTCAAAAGTTCACGTCGTCTCTCGGCCGTTCGAAGTCCACCAGGGCTGCTCAGTGCGAGCCAATCACAGCAGACGGGGAGGGAGGGTTCCTGTACAGTCTAGGCAGCAAGTCACTCATTGTCTGCCCCACATTAGGACCCCACTCCCCCCCCGCAGTCGCCAAGTGCTCTTGTAAAGCAGCGATTCGATGAGGTCACTCCTGCGGTTCCATCGGAGGGGAGAGAGGACGTCCGCTGACAGTTAGCCGTGTTGAAGAGTGTTGAGGAGAACTGAAGATCTAGCCAATTTGTTCTACGCCAAACTGGGAACTTGGCTAAAGAGCTCGTCGCGTCAACCGCAAAAGTATGTGCAAAAAAACCAAAATCCAGGTTATCCCAACGGTTTAAGTCCCCCCCCCCCCCCCCCCCCCCAGAAAACAATAACAAAAGTAACTGACTTGTATGACAAGTCTGTAAATAAACGCAGTCCTTTTACAACGGAATGTAAGTTGTTGGCTTAGTTATTTCATTTGATTTCTTTTTTACCAGGTCATCTCTATAGATGACCGTATGGGCGTACTTTATTTTTCAGTACACAATTAGTCGAATGTACATGCACTGAAGAAAAATATTGCACAAAATTAAAAAGAATTAATTGGGGATATATCTGTGTGTGTGTGTGTGTGTGTGTGTGTGTGTGTGTGTGTGTGTGTGTGTGTGTGTGTGTGTGTGTGTGTGTGTGTGTGTGTGTGTGAGAGAGAGAGAAGAAGAGCAGCTACGTCTTGGTCACTAATATAGAGTTTTAAGGCTGGTTCACTAGCTCACACTGGCACAGTTTCGGACTTAAAAAGAGTTCACCATGCTACAAACACTCACACACACTGCATTCATACAGACACACAACGCTCTCCATGAGCAGAGTACAGACCAGACCAAAGCACATTCTTTGAGACGTACGTAAGTTTGTACGCTTTTGAGAGCCAGAGGACGGCCAACACCATCGTATGTTTTGTCCCACCTTTAAAGAAATGGGTCAAAGGTGAACAGTGCTTTGTAGTTGAACCATTTTTTTTAACCCCATATGAAAACTAATATGAAGCACAGTAACGTTTGGAGTATCAATACATTGTACGTACATATATGTATATATATAGATGTATACATATGGAACAGTAGGTGCTTTGGTAGTTTTGACAGTAGTGTTAAAGGGGGCGTGGTCTATTCTATATAGTCTGGAAAGGCCTGGAAGCCTTAAAAATAATTATTTAAAATTTGTTTGACGCAATTAGGATTTAGTCACATTTTAAAAAAAGACGGCGTCCTTCTAAACCAGTGCAACTGACAAAATCAGTTAGTCTAAATATGCGATGATGTAACATACACACAAGTATCTAAAACCCAAGTGATTATAGGCCCTCAATGTATAAAGGTGAAATGAATCAATCAGAGCTCTATCCTACTGTATGCAAGCCGAGAAGCAGGTAGGTAAGGCAAGGTGAGGGTCTATGCGCGCTACTCTGCAGGTTAAAAAACCAACCGTCCAACATTAACAGTATCTGTGGTCTGCTCTCTTGACCGGGGAGGAAACGCAGCGCTGCCTGGCCCAGCTAAAGCTAAACACCTAAATAAAATGTCCAAACAGAAAATCATATAAAACCAAATGACAGCTGTGTATGATTGTGTGTGTGTGTGTGTGTGTTAGGAGGGCAGTGTGTGAGTGTTGACTTGTTCCCTGTTCATTTCAGTCTTTAAAGTTTTCAGCTGGATGGTCGGAGTGAAGAACCAAGGTGGGGAGTGTTGAGAGAAACAAAAAGAGAGAGGGAGAGAAAGGCAGAAATCATGCAAGCCAGTCCACACGCTCACACCACCCGCTTTTCCCAATCACCAAAATCTTCACCGTTGCTCTTGAGGCTGTTAGTGTGTGTGTGTGTGTTCACGTGTGCACGTTAGCTCGCAGGACCGTGCACTTGCGACGGGCACATCTCGTACGCCTCCACATGGAGTCTGGTGCCCGCCGGCCCACTCCCCTCCCCTACTTCACCTCCTCTTCGCTCTTGTCTCCTGTCACCTCTTGAGGGAGGTGCTTTTGAGTTTCTGGCTGTAGCGGTGTGTGCGCGGCGAGCGCGAGTGCAGCTTGACGAAGAGCTCGGGGAACTTGTACTGCGGGAACATGGTCTCCAGGAAGCCCTCCAGGAAGACGTAGACCAGCCGTCGGTTCATGGGCTGGTGCTGGAACATGTCGAAGACGCGCAGGATGCCCTTCCTGGTCGTGTCGGCGCCGATGATGTGCTTCAGCTCGTCTGGGAGAGAGAGGCGAAGACAGGCTTCCGGTTATTATTATGGTTTGTATGCCGATTAGGGCCAGGCACTGTATCGACTTCTATGGGTATCGCAGTAGGAGACTAGATGCATCGTCTTAGACTTTGGGTGTTGTGATATCATGATGCGGCGTAAGTGTCTCTTTCTGGTGTTAAAGGCTGCATTATGATAAAGTGAGAAAATAACCAGCATTTCAATTAGTCAAGTATTTAATTCACACAGGAGTAGCCAAAAATAGGCTTTACCGTGTGGTTATTTTCTATAGACTATATTTATTGAATTACCAGAAAACCTGCTATATTGTGATCGAGATATTAAATGACCTACATAGGGAAAGAAGATTTTGGCCATATCGCCCAGCCCTAATGCTGATGCATATTAGTGCCAGAACATAACTTGCCATCAACTGTATTATGTTACTCTTGGTTTGTATATTCTCATGCATTTTCTGTTTTACCTTTTCATAAGGACATTTTTCTAACATGTGGTCCTCTGTCTAGCTCCACGGATAGAGCATGGCATTAACACTGCCAGGGCTGGGGGGTTCGATTCCCATTGGCGTCACCCATGTTAAAGGGCCCCTACTTTACCACCAGGTGTGAATGTGATTAGCCATTGCAAGCAGTTTAAAAGACATTGCAAGCGGGAGTGTCCAACCAGATGTATGATGAATAGATGAGCCAACCAGTTGGTATAGTCCACTAGGCACACTGGTAAACTGATCTAGTCATCATACATCTGGGTGGACACTCCCACTTGTCATGTCTTTTTGAACTTGCAATGGCTAATCACACTCACACCTGGTGGTAAAATAGGGGCCTTTTAAGAATGTATTGTAAGACAAAATGGCATTAACTATGTGTGTGTGTGTGTACCTGGCATGATTCCCAGCAGGTTGGTCTTGGCGGCGACGCGCGTCCTCATGCGGATGCCCCGGTCCCGGGTGGGCGGGGTCTCTGCTAGGATCCCGTTGGGCCAGTAGGAGTCCCTGCATGGAGGCGGAGCCACAGAGAGTGAATGACAGCTCCCCCCACCCACAGTAAGCAACATAATGTGCCTGTGTATGACAGGGAGGGGCTTGGGGGAATACAGGGTTCATACACATTTTGACCAAAAGATTTCCATGACTTTTCCAAGACATTTCCATGACTTTAAAGCAAATTTCCATGACCAAACATTTTGTGAAATCTCGGTGTATACATGAAAAAGTGATCAAATGTAGTATTAAAACTATGGCCAACAAACTTTTCAGTAGTATTCAGCGTATGACTGCTTATAATTTGCGTGTATTTCTTTTTAAAGCATATAAATTATTTCAAACTCAGCATAAATGAACGACCTGAAAATATGAATTAGGGATGGGCATTTTAAGATCAATTATCGATTAATCGTTATTTTTGTGGGGGTGCGTGATTGTTGACGGCGGGGGGGCCTACGACCGACCGTATTATGACAGTCCTGGACCGGCCCAAATAGCTGGACCGGCCCAAAAATAATAATACACAAAATAAAAAATAAAAAATATATATATATTACGGCCGGACGGCTCGGTCTGAAATCTCCCGAACCTCCCTATGGCAGCCCGTCCCTGGTTATAGGCCTATGCGGCGCTCGTAAAAGCCGAACAATGCACCTACATGCGCTCTTAAAGGTTTGGAAACGATCCAACAAGACTACATCTGTATTCCAATTACAATAAGTAGCCTACTTATCGGCCAACAATAATCAAACACGGCAGTAAAAGTGGGCATTAAACTGTATAACTGTTTTGAAAAAAAGGGAAAAAAGGCCGACATGCCGATACAATATGCGGCCGGCGCTCGGAAAAGGCTCGCAACAAACAGATGAGCCACACATTTAGAAACAATTGCATGAACTATCTAAAAGAAATACCTTAGTCAGAAAACAGATATGAGGCTGAACGTTTTGCTAAAATGTCAGTTATGGAAATATTGAAAATGTTGGAGCGGCTGGCTTGACCACGCGAAAACCGAGAGACGGCTGTCTCGACCGCAGTATGCAATCGGTCATTAATCAATAATCGTATTTAACCGTATAACTGCACACAACTTTATTTAAAAGCAATCAAATGTAAAACATGTGTGTTTGTATTGTGGTGTCCGGTGCGTGTGAATGTGCGGCTCCTCCGGCGGAGCGGTTCATGTTAATAGCGGAGTCCGGGAGGGTTCACCTTCACGGCGTAGTTACGAGGGATGTGCGACTATCGTCTTAAAAAATACTAAAGTGTTTTTTAAAGTTAGAAAGATATTAGATATTCAACCGATATTCACACTCCGAATTACAGCGATCAGACACGGGGAACTAAAGCCGCGATCACCGGGCACCGCTTGATCGATAACAATATAAATTGATCGACACATTTCTTAACGATCAATGATCGATCATCGATTAATTATGCCCATCCCTAATATGAATGTTACACATTTCCATGACTTTTCCAAAACTTTCTGGGTCTTTTTACTTTTCCAAAACCTTTCCAGGCCTGGAATTTGCATTTTTCAAAACGTATGAACCCTGGGAATAGGAGTTACCTGAACTTTTTGACGTAGTCTGCCACCTGCTCCGGCGAGGTCATGAAGTCCACGTGGTCAACGATTTTCCTGTGGTGAGCAGACAGAGGGGGGGGCTGGCATTATAGTTTGGATAGTGAGGGCAGGTAGGAGTGTGGATAGGGGTGAAGGCGAGCGGGGGTAGGTACGGCGGTTGGAGTGAAGGCAGGTAGGAGTGTGTGTAGGGGTGTGTTCCCAACCTGTTGATGGTGTCTCCGTACGTGGCCCTGATGAGCTGCTGCAGCAGGTTCTTGATGTTCCTGCGCAGCCACTGGTTCTTCTCCTTGAGGTCGAACACCTCGTCCATCAGCAGCAGCATCACACGTAGAGGGATGTTGTCATCCACCTGGACACACACACACATATCGTTATGAATATGGGAGAAAACCATAAATATAGCTACCAAACTAATTAGGCTCATGAATAATGTAGTCAGATTCTGAAGAAGTGCTTTAACGCTTTCTCCAACTGTCACATACACACACACTTACATTGTCATCGAGCTGGGCCAGCACGCGACAGTGCTCCGGGTCGATTTCAGATTTGGGGAGGAGCGGAGGTACCTGAAAACACAGAACCGACCTGTGAACGACGCTCTGTAGTAAGGACCCCTGCCACATACCCTGCAGGAGCAAGCTCTAGGGGGAACTTGTAAAGATTTTGCTTTGTTATACCTACATAATACTACGTGAAATATTTGTTGAATGTGTTAATATATATATACACGTTGAATGATCAATAAAATTTAAGACCAGAAATGGAAGTATGCGTGGGCGTCGATGAAGGGGTCCATGAACTCTCCCACCCAGGGCTAGGGTCAGCTCACCTTGAATATGGACTGCTTGATGTCCTGGCCCAGCCTCTCCGACATGCGGCCCATGTTGTCGGACACCTTGTTCATGCCCTCGGCCAGGCTGTCCGGCAGGCCCTTCACCACGTTGGACACGTTCCTCATGGAGCTGCGCAGTGGGTTCACAAATGTGTCCATCTGGAGGAACAGAGACACGACAATGTAAAGTAGACAAAATTACACTATTCAGAGGCGATATAGAAATGCGTAGACTTCCATACGGAGTGGATCTACAGCAGTGATTCTCAACTGGTGCGTCGCGAGGACATTTTCAGTGGGTCGCGGAGCATATGCCAAACCTTAATCTCATGGGCTTCTTTCTAAAGAAAGAAGCCCATGACTTAACTGTTTAGCCTTAATATTTCATTGAGTTTAGCCCCAGTGGTTGCAGCTTTTTGTTCACTCCATGTTTTTCACAATACATGAAGGCATTATTGATTACTGCAATATTGGTAAATACATTTTTTATTTTTGGTTTGTGACTAATGACACATGCTAGACCAGTTGAGAACCACCGATCAACAGCTTACTGTAGCATTTAAAGTGCTGGCGGTTCCAAATGGTGCGCATGAATGGTGCGCATGAATACCAAAATCTCATCCGCATGCAAAACTCAAATCCACAATCTCCCGTCACACCACTAGCATTCTTCAGCCTCACTGACCTTGCGTGCAAAGTCTCCTTTGCCCTTGTTGTAGGCCTTGTTCTCTAGGAAGTCATAGACGTAGGGCAGCAGAGTAGGGCAGGCTTTCACCATCTCTGGGTTTATCAACAACTGGAAAACAACACGCGCAACGTAAATACATATAACACATACTGCACAAGGCTAGACACCGAGATGCGCATGAACCCGTACCTGGAGGTAGGCGTTTAGGTCCTTCTTCCTCTTCTCCAGGAAGTCCCGGTCCATGTTGTTGAAGGTCTTCTTTCCCGGCAGCCGCAGGATCGATGTCAGGTTCTCAAACTGAAGTAAAAGCACACAATTATGAATCATTAAATCCGCTTGGCAGTGTTTGTGGTACCAGGGGTCTAGGACAGACCGTAGACTCAGACAGGCAATCACTCACTCAGACACTAGTCTCACAAATCAGCTGCCGTCAGACTTTATATAAAGTCTGACGCCTGATAAGCTCAAATATGGGTGAACAGGGCATTTAACTTTTTTTCACTTCATATTTGCTCTGAATAAACACTGTATAGATTTGGCCACCATAGAAATACTAAAAATCCCCTTCTCGAAGCTCCATCCACTCGCGCAACTGCGCTTCTCGTCTATAAAATATCTTCGTAACGAAACATGGCCCAACTCCGCCCCTTTCAGTTTCAGGTTTCCGGCCCAGGCTCTGAACGGTCTCCCCCCCCCCCCCCAGAGTTTCTGCTATAACCGAGTAGGACTGCTGGGTCCCAGAAGTTCAGCTATATTACAGTAGGACGGCTGGGTCCCAGATTAGGACGAACCAGTCAGTGGCTCCCTGCCCACCTGTTCGGTGATCCTCATGTGGAAGTCGTGGAAGTCGGAGTAGCGTCGGTAGGTCTTCCAGCAGTCCTCGCTGCCATCGTGGTTGCGGCGGAACACCGTGATGGCGTACAGCGCGTACGTCTTGCCGTGGTCGTTGCACATCCCTGTGGCACCCCAGAAGCCCGGGAGAGAAGTGTCAGCTACCCCCGCACCCCCCACACAGGCACCACGACCACAACCACACAGGGGTAGTAGAGTAGGGGATGAAGCAACGGACAAGCCCATGGAGAGGAGGGTGGAGGTGAATGATTGGGATTGCGTAATCAGGGAGCGGGAGAAATACCATGGCAGACGGGAAGATGGATAGCAAAAGAGAGGAAGTGGTGAGAGGGAAAGCAGGAGGAAAAGCAGATGGAACAGGTGGTATGGAAGGGAAAGAGAAAGAAATGACAAAATAAGAATGACCAGAAGGAACAAAAGAAGGAAAAAGGAAGAACAGACAAATGTTGAAAGTAATGGTGGAAGCATAGAAAATATGGAATACAAGAAAGTGTGTCATGCATTAATGGAAAAAAACAGTTGATTTGCAAAATCAATGGTGGGAAAATAAAATAATCAAGAGCATGAGGGGAGGGGAGGGGAGGGGAGGGGGGGGCGAGGGAGCTGGGAAGGACTAGGAGACACTTTGC